GTCATGTCCTTCTACACCAATAATCGTCTGTAATTGAGAAATTTCCCCTAATAAATTCTGAAGAGAATTAAGAGTTTGATAATGATCTCTCCTAATTGTACCTTTTGAGGTCTGATTCTCTATAAGTCTATCTTGTAATCTAAATAGTTAATAGAATCTCCTCTTTGTATCTTTTCTGGGGCAATCTGTAATCCCCAACGAGGCAGAACTTCCTTCACCATTTCAAACATATGTTCCAAAGTTTCCTTATTAGAATCTGATAAAAGAATGTCATCCATGTAATGATAAACAAGAGATTGTCAAAATTTCTTACGGATTATTTCCAAAGGTTGCTGTACAAAGTGCTGACACAACATAGGACTATTTAGCATTCCTTGTGGCAAAACTCTCCACTGATATCTCCTAACTGACTGTGAATTATTCGGAGTTGGTACAGTAAATGAAGTTTTTTCTCTATCATTTTCCTGTAATGGTATTGTGAAAAAACAATCTTTCAGATCAATGACTATGATAGGCCATCCTTTAGGTATTAAGGAAGGTAATGGCATTCCAGGTTGCAGAAAGCCCCTTGGTTGAATTACCTTATCCATGGCTCTCAGGTCTGTCAGCATGCTCCACTTACCTGACTTGATAACAAATACAGGAGAACTCCAAGGACTGGTAGATTCCTCTATATGTTCAGTGTCTAGCTGTTCCTGTTGTAACTTTTCTAAAGCCTCTAGCTTCTCAGATGTCATAGGCCATTGTCCTACCCAAACTGGTTCATCTGTAAGCCACTTCAATGGCAGGGCCTTTGGCTCCTCTGAAGGTCCATCATTTGTACCTAGTTTCTGTACAGCATGGATGGTTGGTAACCGTTTTCCATAGCGTCTTACTAATTTGTATCTGACATTGGAGGAATATTAATCTGAGTATTCCATTGCTGTAAGAGATCACGACCCCAGAAATTTATAGCTATATCTGCCACATACAGTTTTAGTATCCCTTTCTGTCCTTCAGGTCCAATGCAGACCACTGAGTTAACACTCTGTAGAACTCTAGATAGAGTTCCAATTCATAAAAATTGTACATTTGCCTCTCTAAGAGGCCATTTCTGAGGCCAAGATTTTTGGGTAATAATAATTACATCCGCCCCACGGTCTACTAAGCCAGAAATAACTTTATTATTAATTTTCACTTTCAACTGAGGCCTTTTATCATTAATAGAAGCTTGCCAAAATATGCGTTTCTCATTTTGTCCATTCACACTTGATTCTTCATCACTATTCAAACTACCATCTAGAGCAGTATCATTTTTCACAATAGGCAAAGAACTATCTATTGGTCCTGTGAGCGGGTTGTCTGGGAGCTGGGAACACCTGTGAAGAGAGGGACCCCCCCCCTGCCAAGGCTGCAGGCCCGGTGGGACCCACAGCCTGTCCCAAATGGGGTGTAGGTTTCCAATATCCTGCTCCTAACAACCAGATATAGTGAGAAATTACCAACACGGAGTCACATAGAAATATAAGGGTATTTAATAGGGAAAAGCCTTACTTACAGAGCAACCTAGCCAGCCAGCATGGCAGCAGTCTGTACTTCAAGTACAAAAGTGAAACTGAAAGAGAAACACAGTCCCCTGAAAGCCTCACTCTAAGTCACCCTGACCACGCCCTCGCAAGCAAGCGTAGTCAGACACACCTGTAGCCAGCCCCTAAGTAGGCGTGGCTACAGCTTCCCCTACATGGGTTTAAATTTATGCAACCACTTTAGAACTCAATAAGTCTATTTCTCAGAAATGGGAATTGATTTACCACAAGACCTAGCTATAACACTAGAGCATATATCCGAAGAATGCTCAATAATACCACAAGGACACTTGTTCAACAATGTTCATAGCAGCTTTACCTGTTATAGCCAGAACCCACAAACAACCTGGATGTACCTCAACTGAAGAGCTGGCAAAGAAAATATGGTACATTACACAATGGAGTATTACTCAGCTGTTAAAGAGAGTGACATCATAAAATTTGAAGGAAAATGGATGGGATTAGAAAAAAAATTATCGTGAAGGAGGTAACAGAGATCCAGAATGACAAACATGGTATGTACTCACTCATAAGTGGATATTAGATGTAAAGTAAAGAATAATCATGCTACAATGCACAGACCAGAGAAGCTAGGTAATATGTATGACATAAAGTGAGGGGGGTGGGTGTAAGGACCTCCCAGGGAAGGGGATTTGTACACTGGGGATTTGTGTGATGAATCAGTTGGGGGTGGGGGTGGTTGGATGGAAGGGGAGAATACAGAAAGAGATGGCTGGAAAGGAGAGTCGTTTTGAGGTCAGGTAGAAGCCTGGTACAAGAAATCAACTAGGATGAGCCCAGATCAGATTCCTAGCAGTAGTGGATATGTAGCCTGAATTATCCTTATCCTGTGACCTGGCAAAACTTCCAGAGGAGGGATTGGAACACCAACCCAGCCACTTAACCTATGACCTACAATTTTCCTGCCTATGGGATGTGCTAGGGTAAGGGAGGCACAGGGCTTGTGGGAATGGCCAACCAGTGACTGCCCCAGCATAGGAACCCTGCCACAGGAGTGAGACCATACCTGACACAGGCTGGAATGCCAAACCCATAATCTGGATGGCCCTGAGACCTAGGACATATCCAAACACATTTGGAGAAAAACATGTCAACAGAATCATGCCTAATGATATTATGTTATGCTCTTAGATTGATGTCTATCCCAACTGTCATTAGAAAGTCCTCATCCAGCAATTGATGGAAACATGTGCTGAGGATCACACCAAAACATTAAGCAGAACTTGGGGAACCCTGCTGAAGAGAGGGAGGGAGCTTTATAAGAGTCAGAGGAGTCAAGAACGTAACAAGAAAACCTACAGAATCAACTAACTGGGCTTGTACGGCCTCATAGGGACAGAACTAGCAACCAGGGAGCATGCATGGGAGGGACTGACCTGGGCCCTTTCTATATATGTGACAGTTGTCTAGTTGGGTCTTCTCGCAGGACTTCTAACTGCGGAAGCAGGGACTTTCCCTATTGCTTTGTCTG